TGGATAACCACAAAACATCAAATTCACTGGCAACAGATAAGAGGGCACAGAATCAGTAAGCTCATGCTAAGAGGACCAAACCCAGGCACTACAACCCGCAAGGCCTCAGATATCCACCATTGTGGAATTACTAACGGGGCACTGCTTGCTGAAACACCTTCATGTAATGAGTTTACACAATGATCCCACTACGTGTAGATTTTGCATGGAAAAGGAAATAACCTCATACCATGTGATCTTCGAATGCGAAGCTCTTACTGGGCGACATTTCATCTTTTTCGGCCTAGAACTGGAAAGAATGCCCCAGAAACACTTGGTAGGGAACCTTTTAAAACTAACCAAAGACACAGGACTATTCCAAAGATAGTACCTGAATACGGGGAAAGCAGGGGAATACAATAGACCCAAGAGGCCGCAGTGTTCTGGGTCAAACCTAACCCTACCTGCTTACAACCGATTAAGATAAAGATAAAAAATATACAGAGTTGATTTACATTAAAGTGGTGATGAAATGACAAATGAAAGATGGCAACATGCTGCAAATGATTGTTCTTTTTGTTTTGGACTTTTAGATATTTTTTACTAATTGCATTTTCGACCATTTGAACTTTCGACTAATTGAAGACCTTGACGTAATAAGGTTACCTGCTACATCGTAAGTTTTGAGAAAATTAAGTTTTAAATTTGTTTAAAATCTGTCAAACATAAATAAATAAAAATTATTTAAATATAAATATTACGAAAAATAGCGCCATCTTTTGGATTAGAGGTAAAAAATTGGAATGCGGCTAGTATTCTTGGTAACAGATATTTTGAGCTAAAACAGTAACTTCACGACAAATGGTAACTTGTATCCTTTTTACTCCAAGGGCTTCAATTGATTTTTCGACATTTTTAATTTCAAGGTGAAGGGGGGAGAAAAAGTCCTTTATATCTCACAAGGAAAGTCAATGTTTAATTATTCAACAAAACATTGAGTGCGACCGGTTTCCAAGTATCATCACTTCATCTTCAGGCTCGCCTAGTTTACATCTTATTACCTATACCCTGTCATAAGTTTATCCAAGAATTTTTCGTTAGTACTTACCACCACCTGTAGAGGCCTTATCTTGACAGGTCTCCTTTCAAAAATGTTAGATTTTTATAAAAAACAGCAATGTTGCTTAAAATAGGCCTTATCTTTTAATCTGTTTAATATATGTGATTTGTTTTTGTATAGTCTTGAATATTTTAAAAATTTTAACTGTTTATATCGACTAGTATTTGTTTTTCAAATATTTTTAACTTTTTATAACTTGTAACATTGTTTTGTTTTACAATTTATTTCATCCCCCACGTTTTGATGAAACTTGTCTGTAGTATTCCCTAGTGGATGGAGAGTATGGTGAGTTTTTCTATTTTTTACTTTTTTATATATTGTGGGCTCAAAGTCAACACACCTTACACCACATATTCTCCTTTCCACTAGGCGAGCCTGAAGATGAAGTGATGATACTTCGAAACCGGTCGCACTCAATGTTTTGTTGAATAATTAAACATTGACTTTCCTTGTGAGATATAAAGGACTTTTTCTCCTCCCTTCACCTTAAAATTACCTCAACTCACACATGGCTACCCCCCTTGTCAATTTTTAATTTCGTTAAATTCACTTTTCGATTATCTGGACTTTCGACTATTTAAAATAATTTCAATCAAATCGATACCTATTAATTTTCGATAATTTTTACGCTTACCGTGAGGTTTACTTAAGTGCAGAGGCCTATCCTGGATAACAACCCCAACCGCCAGCCCCGAAAAACGAAAAACAAAATACAGTCGCTCGGAAAAATAAATCAAAAGTGCGGGAAATTTATGACGGAGAGTGGAGCGAGCAAAAGTTGTGTCGCACAATAGGAACGAGGAGGATTCTTTGGGAAAAGTTCAGCTATTTTCCGCTGAGGGCAATTTATTTTTCCAAGCCCGGCCGGCAGGCCCTTATCTAAACAGCGGCGAAAATAATATCTCGCTGATAAGAGTCTGCTGCGGTGGCATCGCCATCGGTACACTCCCGGGAATCGAATCTAAAAAGATAATTCATGTACGTAGGAATTTATGCAACAAAAAATTGGCGGTCGCTATTTTTCGGTTGTGGTGGTATGTGTGTGCCTGCGAGGCTTGTTTTTACATTTTTTAGCAATATGAATGCTAAGTATCGGTTTTATAATAAATAACTCGATTTGTAAGGGCTGAAATCCGAGGGTACCCATGTAGATAAAGATATGATATAATGATATCTATATATTAAATTTAAATATAAATATCGCAAAATTGAAAATTATGACATTTTAAAAATCGATTTCGAAGGTCTTAAGAATCAATGAAAAATAGTTATTCATGTATCAAGGGAATTATAAGGGCCTTAATTACCGATGGCAAAGTTTGCGTCCCGAGTGCCTCCGGCCCAAGGGACAGCAATTGCCTGAGGTTATTAAGGCCCATTAATTCCCGTGGTACATAGATAATTTTATTTCTGACAGATTTCAATAAAATTTTGTTCATTTTTAAAACGGAAAAAATGTACCAATTTATTACCTTCCCGGTATATTTGAATCAGGTACCGTTGATTATAAGAGTTTTGTTGTTGCTAGGTTGTTGCTATGTTACTTGTTTATGAACAAAACTTTGTTATCAAGCTGTGTTTGCGTTAAAAACTATTTCTACCCCAAATTTAATGGAGCATATTTTGAAAAAAGCTGAAAAAGCAAGAGAATAATTAATTCTATCGAAAAGTGAAGCCGTATACCAAAAAGAATACAAGATATATCTGAAGTGGGATATATAGAATCTATAATGTCCCAAGGGAGTTATGATCCTCTTTATTAATAGCGTAACTATGACGATATAAGCTTATAATATCCCTGTCAGAAATAAAATAGTTTTTAATAAAGTTGTTTTAATCACACCTCGTATATTGGTAAGTTAGTGAAATCTGGTGAAACAGTTTTACCAAACTAATATGTAGGGGAACCGGGTATAGAACGGGGTACCGAGGTAGACCGGGTTACCACGTTTCAAATTTTCGCGGGTTAGCGCAAGACCGCCATCTCAATATATAATCACCTCACCTATATCCTACAAATGCGTTGGCAATATATTTGACCTTACCTTACCTTACCGGTAGTCTTTCGAGAGCTATAACGCGGAATGCATGATCTAAGAAAGTCCATTGTAAAAATTGACGAATTTGCAAACAACGGAAAGTGTTTAATTTTACTATCCTTATATTTTGTTGGTAATAGGAAGATAGCCCCTCTCTTAGGGTACCTTTTCCTCATAAAGCCAAATTATTTGGTCTAAAACTTGCTATTTATTTAGTCACAATCGCAACGCATGCTCCTGAGGCAGAATGGGGAGAGGTAGAACGGGGTATACCCCGTTCCGCCCCACGTATATGTTGAACTACTATACTTTATTATAAATGTTGTTTAATAATGCGAACTCTTCTCAATACTTTGTAGCCATGAAGCTTGATCTTTATGCAGCAACATTTAACCATTATTATCCTAAATATATTATTTTTTCTAGACGGTTTGAACGTACCCCGATGTGCTCCATAGGTGGGGCAAAACAAGGAATTGTGCAAATTTTAGCAAACAAATTAATAACAAAATAAGGAAAAGGAAATATTAAAATATTTTTGTAACAAGCGTTGGAAATAATATTAAATATAACTTCCAAGGAAAAATTGTTAGGATCTGAAGGTACATTTTTCAAAAACATTAAGTACCCCCGTTCTACCCCGGATTCCCCTATACATAATTAAATAGAAAATTCTAAAAATATACAAGAATGATTTTAAAATAACCTTTTAATAAAACTGAAGCACATTTTTATTAAAATTTTAGTAGTTTTTAAATACAGGGTGGCCCATCGAAAACGTGCTGCAAGGCATTACAGGGTGGAAAAGAATATTTTGACGAAATCCAAAAACAAGCTTCTAATAATTTTTCTATTAATATTTTTAATAATTTTTCTATTAATTTTTCTATTAATATTTTTAATAATTTTTCTATTAATTTTTCTATTAATTTTTCTATTAATTTTTCTATTAATTTTTCAATCAATTTTTTTATTAATTTTTTTATTAATTTTTCTATTAATTTTTCTATTAATTTTTCTATTAATTTTTCTATTAATTTTTCTATTAATTTTTCTATTAATTTTCTATTAATTTTTCTATTAATCTTTTATTAATGTTTCTATTCATTTTTCTATTCATTTTTCTATTCATTTTCCTATTAATTTTTTTATTAATTTTTTTATTCATTTTTTATTCATTTTTTATTATTTTTTTATTAATTTTTCTATTCATTTTTCTATTAATTTTCCTATTAATTTTTCTATTAATTCTTTTATTAATTTTTTAATTATTTTTCTATTAATTTTTCTATTAATTTTTCTATTAATTTTTCTATTAATTTTTCTATTAATTTTTCTATTAATTTTTCTATTAATTTTTCTATTAATTTTTCTATTAATTTTTCTATTAATTTTTCTATTAATTTTTCTATTAATTTTTCTATTAATTTTTCTATTAATTTTTCTATTAATTTTTCTATTAATTTTTCTATTAATTTTTCTATTAATTTTTCTATTAATTTTTCTATTAATTTTTCTATTAATTTTTCTATTAATTTTTCTATTAATTTTTCTATTAATTTTTCTATTAATTTTTCTATTAATTTTTCTATTAATTTTTCTATTAATTTTTCTATTAATTTTTCTATTAATTTTTCTATTAATTTTTCTATTAATTTTTCTATTAATTTTTCTATTAATTTTTCTATTAATTTTTCTATTAATTTTTCTATTAATTTTTCTATTAATTTTTCTATTAATTTTTCTATTAATTTTTCTATTAATTTTTCTATTAATTTTTCTATTAATTTTTCTATTAATTTTTCTATTAATTTTTCTATTAATTTTTCTATTAATTTTTCTATTAATTTTTCTATTAATTTTTATATTAATTTTTCTATTAATTTTTCTATTAATTTTTCTATTAATTTTTCTATTAATTTTTCTATTAATTTTTCTATTAATTTTTCTATTAATTTTTCTATTAATTTTTCTATTAATTTTTCTATTAATTTTTCTATTAATTTTTCTATTAATTTTTCTATTAATTTTTCTATTAATTTTTCTATTAATTTTTCTATTAATTTTTCTATTAATTTTTCTATTAATTTTTCTATTAATTTTTCTATTAATTTTTCTATTAATTTTTCTATTAATTTTTCTATTAATTTTTCTATTAATTTTTCTATTAATTTTTCTATTAATTTTTCTATTAATTTTTCTATTAATTTTTCTATTAATTTTTCTATTAATTTTTCTATTAATTTTTCTATTAATTTTTCTATTAATTTTTCTATTAATTTTTCTATTAATTTTTCTATTAATTTTTCTATTAATTTTTCTATTAATTTTTCTATTAATTTTTCTATTAATTTTTCTATTAATTTTTCTATTAATTTTTCTATTAATTTTTCTATTAATTTTTCTATTAATTTTTCTATTAATTTTTCTATTAATTTTTCTATTAATTTTTCTATTAATTTTTCTATTAATTTTTCTATTAATTTTTCTATTAATTTTTCTATTAATTTTTCTATTAATTTTTCTATTAATTTTTCTATTAATTTTTCTATTAATTTTTCTATTAATTTTTCTATTAATTTTTCTATTAATTTTTCTATTAATTTTTCTATTAATTTTTCTATTAATTTTTCTATTAATTTTTCTATTAATTTTTCTATTAATTTTTCTATTAATTTTTCTATTAATTTTTCTATTAATTTTTCTATTAATTTTTCTATTAATTTTTCTATTAATTTTTCTATTAATTTTTCTATTAATTTTTCTATTAATTTTTCTATTAATTTTTCTATTAATTTTTCTATTAATTTTTCTATTAATTTTTCTATTAATTTTTCTATTAATTTTTCTATTAATTTTTCTATTAATTTTTCTATTAATTTTTCTATTAATTTTTCTATTAATTTTTCTATTAATTTTTCTATTAATTTTTCTATTAATTTTTCTATTAATTTTTCTATTAATTTTTCTATTAATTTTTCTATTAATTTTTCTATTAATTTTTCTATTAATTTTTCTATTAATTTTTCTATTAATTTTTCTATTAATTTTTCTATTAATTTTTCTGTTCATTTTTCTAATATTTTTTTTATTTTGTCCATTAGTTTTTCTATTTTTTTTTTACAAATTTTCTAATAATTTTTATATTATTATTTCTATTAATTTAATTTTATTATTAGTATTTCAATAGTTTTCTTGAAATAATAATTTGTCAAATCTTATGAACGGGATCTAATCAAAGAGTACAGCAACTGGTTGAGAAAACACAATGTAATACAAAGAGAAGAAGACGAAAAAGCGGTATTTCCAAATTGCAGAAATCTTGAAAGTAAGGGGCTAAGCTAGGACACGGAAAACAAGAAGCATCTATGAAGACAAGGATAATGATTGTCCATTCTTAACTTTTTCGTGTCCATAATTTATTAATGTTTATCACTTTATTGACTTATGTTGTTAAATTTTTTTTATTTTAAATGGGTCAAGACCGAAGTTAAAAAAAAAGGATTTAGTAGCAACTTATTGGCTCATAATGTTCCTATACCTGTTAAAAGGCAATTTATTTAACTGCTGAGGGTAATAAGTGGCAAACGGAATATCCGATATCCGACACCAACAACTAAACCCATATACTTCCAGCTAATCTCCCTTTAACTATCAATTCTCATTCGCATATAATTCTCGCCAAGTTTCCCCGTAAACCCGTCATCTTATCGTCACTGAAATTTAAGAACTACTTAAAAACATTTAAAGTTTTCTGGACTACTGTTACCCGGATTGTACCGAAGGTTATATACACCGCCCGCCCGCCCCCAGAGTGTGTTTTAAAAGTTACCGCCATAAATTGTCCCGAAGCGATCCCGGATCTCGCCTTATCAGTCCTGCTGCGTCTTCTTAAGTTTCTCTCCCGAGCACTCTCTCCCCTCTCGCGCGCCGCCCCCCGTACCGCTGTTGACATCGAAACTTTAATGTCGTCTACGTCCCTAAGGTCCGTGTTACGTAATGTCTGTTTCAACGAGGCTTAAATGTCGCACGGATATCTTACTCTCACTCAAGAGGAGCGTCTGCAATATTTTGTTTGCCTGAATTGTAGAAAGTTATAATTAGTAGGAGGTTGTTTAAATTAATGTCACGTCGTTGTGGGAATACTGATAATTAATACAATATCCGTGATATATTGAACCAGTTCAATGTGGGGGTCAGAGGCGGTTTCTCAATTGGTTCATTTGTGCAGTGAACACCCAGTTAAATTTCATAAAAACACATTATTTTAATATTACAGAAATAAAATATAAATTTAATTTTAATATTTTTATTTTCATATATGTTAATCTATATTTTTTTGTAAATCATTGTCCTTTGGCTGATCGCGTCTCTGTGTCACAGTATACCTAAGTATACTGTGTCTGTGGCGCATTATAATGAGTGAACCAAACACGAATGAGACGATATGCCGAATGCATATAGCTAAAAAGAAAAGACAACACTCCAACAGATCCTTCAAACTGTCAAAGAACACATTAATTGGCGCGCCACTTAAAAACAAGGTTGCCAAACCAGTGTTGCCAGTCTAGTACAATTCACACGTTCGTTCGATCTGTCTACAAGCACAGCATAATTTTGTAAAAAACCATAGGAATAGAGTAAGGGTTATATTTTAATATTTTATCATTCCATTTCTTTTATTTTGCATAATAATTATTTTTCTTTAATTATATTTGACCATAAATATGAGACACGAGAAACTGGCTGAACACTAGTTCTTCTTGGTCTTAATAGGTTGGCAACATTTTTCATTAGAAATTTGTCAGTTCTATGATCGAACTGTCACTTTAAAAAAAATAACCTAATTTGTTCGGCCCTTTCCGATTTAATTTTTGGAAGAAGATGGTCGTTGGGATTTAGCTTCGCATTGTGTTAAATAGTATTGAGTAATAATTAGTTTCCGAGCTTTTTGTTTTGTCAAAGGGCCCCCGTGCCAATGTTTATGTTTCTTTTATTTTGGTTGAACCTGGTTTTTGACCAAAATCTGAGGCAAGTGAGACGCCGAGAGATAGTTTCTTCCTCGTGTTGCTGGATCCCGGTAGCAGAGAAAACCCTCAGAAGAGGTAAGTCATTTCCTTTGCTGCTCCTGCATTTTCTTTGTCTGGTAAAACACTCTTATTTTAATATATATTCTTGCGGATAAACAAGAGAGCCACATCAACCGTGGCTACAGAATGGAATTCTGTCTTGCCAATATGCTGGTCCGTTTTATTTACCCTGCGAAGCAGAGATTTCATTTTTATTTCAAACGTTCTTATGATGGTCCCGTGCACCAAGCAGTCCTGTAACATGATGAGCTTCAGTGTGCAGTGTGTAACCTAACAGAGGGCTCTTTCTAATGCCGCTGTCACACCTAAGATTATATTTTGGTATTTATTATTTTTTCTTTAATTTTAACAGTATGTTCGCAATTTCTGTTTAGACACTTTACTTATATTTTAAAACGGGTATTTCTTTATTTTCTGTATGATTTAGTTTTAAGAATACTTTTTGTTTCTTTTATTTACAACCCGTTTGTAAATATTATTTTGAGTACTCAAAACAATATACCTTAATTTTAACAAGACGTCTCGGATAGGTATAAATAAACCTTCTTATTTTATTATTCATATATTTCTCCAACTATTGGCGAATGAATTGAGAGGATATTCTCAATTACACCATTTCTATTGACTATAAATTTAATTGTTTAAAAATGAATTGAGTATATTCAATTATATTGTTTTTACCGTTTATACATTTAAATGGTTTAAATACTCTTTTTTTTATTTTATTTAAGTGTATCTAAAGTCAATTTAAAATAAATAAATTTCAAGACAACAAATCCTTACTCACACCTTTATGCCACCGACGGTAGAGCCGCCATGCTGTATATAACCTAAACTCTTTGTCAAAAGAAAAAAATAGGTTACAAAAGTTGAATATTATTGTTGAACTTTTTAAATTGTTTATTTTACCTTATACATTTTTTTCTACTCTTCATACAGTATTATGTAAAGAGTATTATAGGTTTACTTTGTCTGTCTGTCCGATGTCACGTTTTTCGTCAAAAACCAGAAATGATATAAACTTGAAAATTTTAAGCAAATATCAAGCTCTATAAGGGGACAAAGCCTATTGATTTTTAACAAATCTGATTAAAAATAGGGGGTTGAAATTAAAAAAAAATCCTAAATTAAAAAAGAAAAGCAATATCAATTTTTAGTAAAAATGAAGCTTTATAAGAAGATAAAGCCTATACACACTGAAAAAAATATAAATATATTGGGGAGTTAAGGGGGGTTAAAATATAAAAAAAATCCTAACTGAAAAACTTGAAATTTTTAGCAAACATCAATCTCTAAAAGGAGAAGTCCTTTCATTATAAAAAAAATCTGATTAAATATGGTTGATTTAAGGAGGGTTGAAAAAAAATCAAAAATGAAAAACGATATCAACATGAAATTTTTAGTAAAAATCAAGGTCTATAAGGAGATAAGGCCTATTGATTGTGAACACAATCTGTTTTAAAATGGGGGTTAAGGGGGTCTGTTAAACTGCGAAGAGTATCATTTAAAATGCCAGGCATTATATATCTTTATTCTATTATGTATTGTGATGGGACTGATCTTATAAAATAAACATTTAAAACATTTCAGTTCTTATTTTATTTGCCAATAAAAGGTATTTAAAAAATATATTTTTTATTTGACATCTGTGAAAAATTGTGAAAATGATTAAACTTACAATAAAAACTAAAAAATGGTAGGTAAAGTTTGGTATAAATTTTTTTACACAAAAATCAATGTCAAGCTTTCTACATAACCTGATATATATTTAAAAATAATCTCAAATTATGAAGAAAAGTCAGTTTACTAACTAATAATGTTTATAGATGGTTTTCAACGTATTAAAAATAAAACAAATATCCCACTAACTAAAATATTAATTTTTTAATAGTTGTAGTGCTTGAAAACAGTATGATGTTGATATTAATAACCACACTTAATACAAACTCAAATAATAAAAAAAACAGCGATATTGACTCTTGTACAAAGTTTTGATCCGAACTTACATATGATAAAATTATTGGAAAAAGTGAACACCCATTTTAAATTACCACGAGCCGGCACTGGTGGGGGTCATCCATTTTCTAATATAATTCTATTTGTAGAATACAAAATCTGTAAAAGAAATTAAATACGTATTGAGTTACCTAAAAAAATTGGGTCTTCGATAGCAAAATTTTGGAAAATTTAAAAAAAATTAAGAAAGTACTTTTCAACTTGTGAAGTTATAATTACTTCATTTATTAAAAAACTCGTTTTTCCGATTTTGTGAACGTAATAAATCTAAACATTGCAAAAACCTTCCAAAACCTTACCAAAGCCGTCCAAAACCATCCAACACCATCCAAAACGTTCCAAAACCATCCAAAACCAACCAAAACTATCCAAAACTATCCAAAACTATCCAAAACTATCCAAAACTATCCAAAACTATCCAAAACTATCCAAAACTATCCAAAACTATCCAAAACTATCCAAAACTATCCAAAACTATCCAAAACTATCCAAAACTATCCAAAACTATCCAAAACTATCCAAAACTATCCAAAACTATCCAAAACTATCCAAAACTATCCAAAACTATCCAAAACTATCCAAAACTATCCAAAACTGTCCAAAACTATCCGAAACTATCCAAAACTATCCAAAACTATCCAAAACTATCCAAAACTATCCAAAACCATCCAAAACCATCAAAAACAACTATTAATAAATGAATATTTTAGTTAGTGTAATATTTGTTATGTTTTTAATACATTGAAAACCATCTATAAACATTATTAGTTAGTAAACTGACTTTTCTTTTCTCTATTTTTCTCTATTTGATTCGTTACGTCTTGAGTACGCACACAAGAATCGCTGTCCAGAATTATTATTACTTACTTATTGTAAGTTTAATTACAAAATTAATTTTTATATAGCCAACCTTCCATCCTCCAATACAAACTTTTAACAGCAATATTTATACATATTGATTTGAAAACAAACAAAAATAATAATTTTTATTTCTTTTCTTTTTGCAACTGGTGACATAATTAACTTTCATAATTTTGACACTTTCTGCGATTACAAAAGATCACTGTGTCTTTTAAAATCATCGATAATTATTATTTGACGCAAGCTTTATGTTTTTATTTCTACACGTAACGCTTTTAAGGTTTGAAATTTTCCTTTACACGATGTTTTTTTATTGCGCATTGATTCAATTTCGGAAAGACTCTTTCATTAAAAATTGTACCAAACAAAGCAAAAAAAATTGAACCTATTAGCGATGCCCTCGCGTTCAATCGCCATTGTGATACACAATGCATCAAATGAATTTCCATTGATTCAATGGAACAGTGAGCAAAAGGGGAGACACATTGTGTCGAGCGATTCACCGATGATAGGACACGACTTCTACTCAAAAGTGACGACGAGGACGAAATGCTGACCCGAAACGTTTCAAATTCACATTTCAACGACTATTGAATGAGAATTGCGATGCTGACGTACTTAACACCCCTACAAAATGAGAAAAATCGTGTTAAAAAGTGATGTAAACCTTACGAAATAAATGATGAACATGATTACTTAAATATAAAATACAGTGTATATTATTACTTGGTGACTGCAAATCCAGTTTTGAATTTAAAAAATAATAAATTTTGCTTATTATTTGAGGTTGTATAATAGGGTGGACCAAAAATAAAGTTTCAGAAATAATTTTTTCCACAGGCCTGTCCTTATTCCATATGGTATTATAGAAATATTTTGGTAAAAAATCTTCATTACTGACAGAAATATTGTGGCATATTTTACATTTAAGGTAGGCGCGTCAGGAGATAGGAGACCACCCAGGCGACCCTAAGGACGACAGATGCATGAATGTTACGCTCCGTACATTTGGGAAGCAAGGAGACAGGTAGCACGACACCCGCAGACAACCATTTGAGGGAACAATCTGCGTTGCCAGACCTACTGTTTTTAAGTAGATCCACTGTTTTTGTCTTCTAGCAAATTCTTCAGCATGTGGTTAAAGGATATTTTCTTTAGTAAATTTTCTGCAGTAAAAGCAGCGTAATAAGCAGCCACTATTGTAGGTTTGTTTTTATTTAAAATGAAACAAAGAATTAATAAGGCATCATAAAAAGAACATGCATGCCAAACACAACGATTTTGAATTATCTGGTTCAGACTGATCTAAAAGAAGTAGGTACCTATTATTTTTCATTGTTTTTTTTTTGTTTCCGTACGTTAAGTATATATTAAAAATGTTATTATTTGTTTTTATTCCTTGTTTACTTTCTGATTTGGGTAAAAAAATGTTTATTTTTCGTTTCTTTTATACTTGTTTTTTTTTTAATTTACTACACTGCAAATTATAATTATTTCCCCCTGTATTAAAATCTACTGTTCAGATCTACGGTTTTTTTTTCTCCCATACTGTTCCAGCATCTGGCAACACTGCCTAAATCGAAAGAAATTTCCAACCTAATCACCTCCAAATACAAGCGATGTTTGAGGACAGTGACCTCGAGTGCGACGCGCAGCAAACGCTTTGCCCGGAGACCGATCCAAAGTGTCGTACAGAAGTGTCGCGCCGTGCGAAATGTGTTTCATATAATTGGATGTGTTTCAAACGCGAAGAGACCGTTCTCGGTTGCGTCTGTTGTCGTCTGTCGCGTCGGTTATCGTCTGTCGCGCCTACCGAAATGGTACCTTTACAGTGGTCTAATTCAGGTCTCTGAAATAATAATTTTACATAGGTAATATAGTATAACAATTTGTTCTTGTTTACTAAGTACTACTAACATCATAGGGTAGCCTTCTTTAACGTTAAAAACTGTTGTATATGACGTTGAACTAATTGGAAAAAGTACTGAGACTGTTCTTTATTTTTCGTGATACTGGTATTAGATGTTTGAATCAAAGCAATACCTCTTTCGGCACAGTCATTTATAACTTTTATTTTGTGTACTTTCCCTTTGAGATTAATGACAAGCTTTTTCTTTTTCCTTTTTAAGGAGGTTGTCGGAGAGTGCGCTGTTGAAGATATGTCTCTAGAGGACTCTTATGCTTGAACGATTTAGTTTCTACTCTCTTAAGGGCCTTAGCCTTTGGTGATCGCTGTAGGTTGCTTAACGATATCAGTTTTGGTGGTGTCACTGACTCGGAAATCAAAGAGATCCAGCCCAACCAAATATTTAGAAAAAACCACAGATGACGTTCAAACAAGTTTACTTTAGTAAATTCTTTTTTTTTCTCTCCAGTTGTAGGGGTAAACTGTTCTTTAAATAAATATATTTTAAGATAATAAATAGTCTTTTTCATCTAACGTGCATTATGCAAGCCATCTGGGACACGAAACATTACTTTTGATCCTGATCTTGTACCTCCAAGAAATACAGTACCCAACCGCAGGAGCTCTAAGTAGTCATCTTTTGACTTATGTCAGGACAATGACAGTATATAGTAACCAACCATTTCTTCCACAACCTTTTTTGTATGGTCATGTTTGGTCATACAGATTATGTTTGCATTCAGAATATATTTCCTTGTCAATTTAAGGCCATATTTTTAAAAACGCTTCAATATAACCACATCTGGACCCACACTTACTCCAAAAGCTGTACTGGAAACAGACGAAACCACAATTTCAAGTACATAGTGCCCCAACATCGAATTCATATAAGAATTATCTTTAAACTCTCTTTAAAAATGGCACATGCTTTACTCCTCAAGCCTGTATTGACAGCTGTTATGTCGTAGGTTTCAATCATCCATATCGTTTAGTCAAGCAGTAAGTAGCTTGTTCCTGGCCAGTCCCACGGAGATTATTTGAAAACCCTAGTAATTTTTCGACTCCACTTAGAAGTATTACCACCTTGTCAACCTTTTCAGTGCAACGCGCAATATATGTAAGTAACTTGCCATGCAAATATAGAAATAAAGAGCCTTCAGAACAGAAAGTTATTTGTGTTACGTCACATATCCTTCATAGTAGTGCCGTTTGTCCTGTTTGAATCGAACAAACAATATTAAAAATATAGGTTAATGCCTTTTTGACATTGATACTGCGCATGATTTTTCTCTTTAGCGTTAATCTACATCACATTTCCTTCGTAGTAGTGCCGTTTGTACTGTTTGAATCGAACCAATAATATAACATCCGATGTCTTTTACAATCTTTTAGTAAAGCGAGTACATTGTTATCGACCGCGACCCAGCGTTATCTCTTTTTTATGTATACATTATAAAGCAAGAATTTCTTAAATGTCTACGTGGTGTAGCGATAAAGACAACGAACTGTAACTAATTGTTCGTGGCTGTCGTAGGTTCAAATGCCCCCCGGTTTCAGCTTTTTTTATTTAATAAATAAAATTATAAAGGTGTATGTTGAGTTGCTGTGTTATTGAATAATGATATATAGTAAGTTGCGGATTATTAAATTAATAAGTGACTCCATCTAGCGGCAGACATAGCAGGCTGGCAACAAGGCCCCACAACAAGGTCGAGTAAGGTTAGGTTAGCAACAGTTGGCTAGTGACGTCATGACACGTGATGTCAAGACGAGTGACCTCGATATGGACAAAAATTGCCAGAATGAACCTTAGCGATTTCCCATGTTCATTTACATAAGGTTTGCGCTCGAACTCCTATAGCTCCTTTACTCATGTTTGTCACTGAATTCAACATTACTACTGCCGATATCCATATAACTATTTATTCTGATCTAACTAAGGTCTGTTAATAAAAAAAATTAAGTGTACATTGTAATAGTTCATTGATTTGTTTCAAAATGATGTTTAAACGGTGAACAGTAACATTAGAAACTCTCTAACTGATCAAAATTTTGGTTTGGTAATTCTCTTTGCATAGTGAAACAAAGACAACAAGACGGACAACACTATTGTATAAATAGGTTTTCCTTATTCCTAAGTAAACCATAGGGCTTCAATGGAACTGATTTATTAATTTTGTTGAACTCCTCTACAACATATGTTACTAGATCTGCCTCTTTCTCTCGTTCCATTTTAGAGGTGAGGTTTAGATCTTTTGCTTTCACTTGCTGTGTTCAACCCTTTAACAATGCCTAAAAGTTAAAACAATAGGTACCTACGCTTAATGGCAATCAAAAAGAAAGATTTCACTAAGTGTATAATTTTAACACCATAGACTCAGGCCCGACGAGATAGTACAAGGGGGCAAAATCCCCGGGGGCCAGGTACAAGGGGGGCCCGGCAGCTTTAACAAAATAGGTTATAATTAGGGTTGCCAGACATTCAACTTGGACCTGGTTTACAAAAAATACAAACTGAAGATTTTTTTAGAAGCTCACCATAAAAAGGAGGATCTGGTTTACAAAATGCAAAGTGAGACAT